CATGTGCATACATTTTGTCGTAGGTATTGTATGGCTGAATTTGTTGATTGGGCTTATAATTCTAGCCATGAAGTTTTATCGGTAGGCCACCTTAAATATAGCCGTAAATCATTTTTATTATATTCATCATTCTTTAAAAATGTTGCGTTTACACCGGATGAATCGACGATTCTGCTCATAACGACTTCACTGAGGGTCCAGAAAGGTGTCCCGAAAGCTGCGATAAGTTCACCGACGGGCTGCCATGACGAATGCTCAGCAGACCAAAAATAGTCCTTCGTTAATCTTCATTGAGGTCGACTAATGGGCTTCTTTATTGCTCACCTTAAGACGAATGATAACACTTTCCAAATGAACCCCACCATTGGGAGTTTTACGAAAAACTGTTTTTCCACCTAGTTGTCATCGCAACGCTTGTTAACACTTAGTTACCAGCCTTGTTGGCACTGCTAAATCAATCAACCAGGATCCCTACTCCTCATGCCAATAAGAATTTGCCAAATTTAAATTAAGATTAACTAATTGACTTTTAGCTTTTACCACGACCACATCAATTATGGCGACAGAAAGCTTGTCACTTTTATCAGAGTGTATATCTCTAGGCGCTTGATTGAATAGAGGACCGAAGCCAACCAGATCATGGAAACAGGCCACCAGAAGTCTTTGGGGGAGGTGTTCATAGCTATAATCAAGTCCAGGAATTCCTGGTTACTTTTTTGTTATGATTTAAACAAGAGATTTCATAATGCTCTCCCTTACTTCGCTTCTTTTTCATCTAACTGGTAGTTCTGATGACTTTTGCTTATCCAGACTTGCATAGATCCATCTTCGTGTCGTTTGCACTATTCTAAAGGATTGTCTTTCATTTCAATTATACATATCTGCATACAATCAACCCTTTATGATTCTTGTATGAATTTTATATAGACTCTACCGGAATATATGGACTATATCTAAAGTAAGTCTTATTCCCTCGGCAATCTCTCATTTCATGGAACACATTTAACTTTTTGAATAAATCTTCATTTTTTGGCACTCTTCGGTCCAGGAAGAATGAGTTAGACAGCAACAGGCGTGTACACATGCTGAGAAGAGAGATGAGGTGCGAATTTGATGGCACAATTGGGTGTGCAATTCATGGGCATAGTGAAGATGGCTTACCTCAGTGGTCAAGGTGTGTCATCATTCCAGCCTAGTCTCTTTGACAACGCTGACACTACACTTTAGCACTCACTTTGGCTTGAATGAAATGTCTTTCTTTACGAGAAATTGCATCTCTCATAAAAACTGGAGTCAGTTAATATCGTTTAAGGTTACCAAAGAACTGCTAGTTGCATTTTTTCTCGCAGCTTAACCAGTATGCTTCATTATGCCGTTGGATTTTACTTAGCCTTGCTTCCCAAATCATTTTCTCATCCAAGTTTGGCTTCAATTTTTATGTTGCCTAGACTTAATCAGTATCCCCAACGGAATGCGAAAGTGGGTCATGTTCACTGTAGCATTCGACTATCAGTCATTAAATCACCCTAAGCGACCAAGGGTGACTCACTTTTCTACTCAATAATTACGAATTCTCTCTTGCCTGCTAGTTCACTTTGCGCAACTCCACTGCACTTTACTTCACCTTGCCTCGTCCTTTTACTTCTCTTTTCTCTTGTCTCCCTGCCTCACTTTTGTGCATTTAATGACCTGTTGTCTGCTTCTCGACAATCCTCCTGTCCCCTTCGTTCGTCCTTCACTTTTGTCCAGCTGTGCTGAGCTGGCTTATTCTGTCTGCTTCTTCTACCTTGGTTTCTTGTTGCTCGGTCATTCACCTGCCTTTCTAGATGGGAACTAAGCACACCTCTATCCTCTTATCTGTTATTGCCCCTTTAAAGTAGATTTAGTTGGTAGATTCTATTTCCCCATTCATTCGGCACCAACTTACCAGGTCTCCAAACTGACGAGTTGACAGGCAATCACTCAGCTAACCACCTTTTCGTTTAATGACTTTCGCTCCACCAGTTTACGGATCCCCAGAAAAAGTTATTGTCATGGTAAGTAGGTTTCGAGACTGTCGGTAGGTCTGTGAATTGAGAGGGACCGGTGTATGTCTTAATAAGGACTGTGGCAGCAGCACTTTTAAAGTATACGCTGCATTGCCCGGGTTCGAGTCCCACCGGGTTGTTGGTGGGATTAGTTCAAAACTGCAATCCAGTCCTGTCGGAATTAGAATTCTCTCTTGGGAGGCAATGCAAAATGAACTTTACTGGTTTCATGAGGCCGCCTTATATCATCGTAAGAGGATTCAAACGATCAATCCTTCGGCAGATTATTTATATTTTCCGAGTGGTTTAGGCCCTCGTAATGAAATGAAGAGACGGCTTCCTTTATGACCGTTTTGCAGTTTTATTACATCTTTGGTCTCAGCTTACCGTATTATTAGTCGGCTTCAAAACTATTGGTTTATCTTGTCTCTGACACGAATTCACCTTGCCCCCATACAAGATTTCTCACCTCTGATGAGACAGCCTTTTGGGAGGTTTGGCGAAATGAAATGAAGTGGTGTCTGGCGACCTTATGCGATGTCATTAAAATTCATTTGGTCCTGTCTCCCAACTGGGCTATCACTTCAGGGTGAACTTCAGTTTTAACATCGACTCAGTCTCATCAACATCCACAACGGAAATCTCGTCGGTAGCCATGGCCACTGGTGCTGGTGGGTCATCGGGCAGACATGATTTTTACGGCCAGCCAATACAAGGCTCTTGTGCAGTTTATATTATCCCGCCGGATGGTCTCCGCCATTCCATACCTCTCGGCCCGCAACCCTAGAAGGTCTTGTCTAACCATTTACACTCGTTGAACATCATCGCTATTGTCATTTGATGTGCCCCTGTACTTGTGCTGATAGCTCTGCATTGTAGCTTTTCACATGTTGGACCATTGGTTGTGAAATCGCCATCGAGCACATGTCCCTCTCATTTTGTGTTTCTCACCAACGCCTGGACAGTTGGCAAAGCCGTCCAGCCTGGCTTTGTTCGAAGCCCACAGCCTCAAGCTGAACTCCCTCTGCAGCGTCGTTGGGCACAAACTGAGGAGGCAGTCTCTTCGGGAGATGGCGATGTCTCCATTTCCTTCATTTTCGCTACCGACCCAATTTGGCGACGGTTCTGGCAAGTCACCAGCTTCCAGACGCATTCATCGTTAATCTCAGTACCTGTTGGATGCTCGTTCTCTTTCGAGTGTGCCCACGCAGTCGTTTGTGTTAGCTGAAGATAATTTTTTATTTTAACAACTCACTCCATCTCATCGTTTCTATCACGTGGTCGTCTTATCAACTGCAATCTGTCGTTGGGGAGAAGAATGCAACCAATTCCGTGCGCAGGCATCAAAGATGGCTTAGTTGGCAAAAAGTCGTGGACTGAAGCGAGATAAGCAGACCGATGCTACCAACTAGACTTGGAGAATATATGCTTCTGCAAAGGACAACAGGTGTTGGCGATCTGTTGCCTTACTCTTGTGCAGACATGGGCGGAAAGAGCGTCAATTTGTCAAGACCCATGATACAACCGATGCCACTGGGACGGAAAAATTATTTGCAAGCAAACTCTTGGCCACAATCCATTCGCATTGCATCATCCGACGCATCATTTCAACTCGCTTTCCACTCAGCTGACTGGCACAAACTCGGAGACACAAGAATTCAAGTTGTCTTTTGCTCGTCTGTAGTCTGTATAGGCAATAAATGTGCACGAGGTGTAGCATACTGTGCGGTACGTATGAGAGAATCGGTCTCTGTCGTATCGTGGACTAGGTTGGAAGTTGCCGAGGGCGACTGACTTTAGAGCCCATTCGCTCTCGGAGCTGGGCTTGTCGTATTTTCAGGGCGACCTAAAAGTCCGTACCTGGTTCTGCGTCTCTCCAAGACTATTTGGGCGACGAAACATTTGGGAATATACCAAGCCCATACTTTTTATGCTCATCTCGAGTATGCAGATTACTTTTTGCTCAAGGCCAGGTCACAGAGACTGTAAAGTCCGCTCCACCTGATCTATATCAAATAATGCAGTCATATTATTATTTTTTCTTTTTGCCACTTTTGTATTTTATCACTTTTCGTTCAGCGCTTGAGACGTCGGAGTATTTGGAACTGATGCTGGCCGCTTTGTGACTTCGATACACATTTACTCACATACCCATTTCCCATTGCACCACATGTTTTGAAGTATCTCACCACGGGTATGGCAGGCATTTTTCCTCATTCTTATTTAAAGCAGCCTTCCTAATACTCTATCACTATCTATTTTCCTCCTCTCCTAAATTCTTCATGCCCACCATAGATTTTATTGGGATCGAGATGGACAGAGAATTCGGCCATACTAGCTGGTCGCCTTACGGACCTGTCTAATACTTGTGCTAGGCTTAATGTATCCCATATATGCTGATTCATTTGTCTTGATAGATTCCCTGGTACGTCATTGTTTGATTGACTTTCTTTTGGTTTGACTGATTGTGATATGAAATAGTTGACAGGTCTACCTCGCTAGAAGACGACGGTAGATTTCCTGACTTGTCTATTACACTCATTCTGGTACACTCTTCGAGGAATCATCTTTCGGTTTCGTCAAGAACGGTTCCGAGGACTTTATCAGCCTGAACAAGTCATTGGTTCTAGCCCACAGTAAGCTGACAGGAATCCGCCCTCGTCTTTTGCTTAAATGGACACTCGAATCTCTCCATTTAACACACCTTCATGTGATAGACTTAACCAAATTCGTCGCCTGTTGATTTCGTGGTTTCTTTGGAAAGGGTTGTCAGATGCGATTATTTCTCGTCTTAAAAAAAGTATGATTATGCATTTAACATGTTTTTGTGTTCATTAAACCACGACACATCATTAATCTTCTCTTTCCGTTGGTTGGACATAGATTGACATCCAGATTGTTAACTATCACATCTACAACATGTTTCTGTTACTCGAATTTCTGATGCTGTTCATACAGAGTTAAGGCTTCAAGATCACATGTGTTCCGTCGCTCTTTACAGATGGCATTAGCTTCGTGTGTAGTTGACATTGGTCGCAGACTTTCTAGATTATATTTTCTCAGAAAACAGATTGTATAGGACCGTGCTGAAACTGAGACCCATTTTGACGAAATATCCTCCTTGAACAATTTTCATCGCGCTACATATGCAAAAAAGTTGTTGTTTGATGAATTTCATGACTCAAAATTATTCGAGTTCGAGGGAGTGTGTGGGATAAAGGTTACATGTCCCAACAAAAAAGTCCAATGAGGCCTGACGACCGTTGCTGGAGAGGAATCTGCTGTCGTCTTCTGTAGTGACCGATCTCCACGAGTCTCCTCTTCAGACTTTTTTACCCTGAATACTAAGAGTAACTGGATTTCGGAAAATCTTTTATGATACATTGTTGTGGCGACTTTCATTTCGTGTTAAAGTGCATGATGAAACGATTAGTTGGTCTATCTCACTGGAAGACGACGACTGTTTTACGTTGTCCTGCAGCCGTTTGGCTTTAATACAACGCTCAGATCGACGCAACACAATTGATGGGCATCGTCAGAGCTGAAACCCATTCTGTAAAGCTTCAAGTTACCACACACACACACACACATACACTAAAGTATAACTACCCCGATAAATACATAAAAAGTGCTAATTAAATCATTATGTGTCTATCTATATCTATATTTTCATTTTTACTTATGAATAGATATGGCGCATAAGATAGAATTTGATAATCTTCCTAATTTAATGATGAGTTTAAACCTTTATAAT